AACCTGAGTCACTTTAAGACTGAAAGAAACATTCAGCTCTAATCAAAATGTTAGTATTTTTTCATACCTGCTTGAATCCTTTAGTATATTGAATATATAGTTTAGAGTTATAATTGTACAACACATATACACATACAGATTTAAAATAAATGGTTCTTTTTCTTGATTTGCTTGGTATTTGGCATTATGAAATTTCTCGTCTTGTTTCCTACACTAAGAAACCTGAATTACTAACAGCTAGATAAAATGAAAAATTGTGCAGGATTATGTTTCTACATTTTTGGCCAGGCTCAAATTACAAATTGTAGGAACATATCATAGAATCCATCTGCTTGAACTTTCTGAATATAGAATAGCTAGAAAAAGACAAATTTGCCTTGTAAGTATTGAAACAATGAAGCATGTAGAAGACCACAGAGGGAAAGGGGGAAGCTGATTACAACCTGAATATAAGAAGCTTTCCTTTTCTTTTCCACTCTCATTCAGATAGTCAAAGTTCTTGTGACAAAAATTGGGGAAACTTCTTTCTGAACACTTGTACTTCTAAAGGAACATCTGTTATTTGTACGTGCCAAACTTCCATCACATTCAGAAAACTGCAAATATAAATATGTCCTGTACTAATTTTTATATTTCATCTCAGGAACAGAAAAAATGTAACCCTTTTCTGGAGGAGAAAAAAATAGCTATTTATCTTTCATAGACACAGAAGAACAAGGGGTATTAGTGTCTCCAAAAAATCCTCTATCTTTTAATGATTTCTGGATGGTGAACTATTATGGGCAGGAAAGCTAACTTGTAGCATGACCTGAGGCCACCTCACAGTTAATTTTTCCTTATCTTCCAGTGTTGTTCTACACTTTGGCACAGCTTTCTTCCATTCAGATTATGACAGTGAGTCAGAAAAAGAAAAGCAGTTAAATTCAAGTAAGGAGGAGGGCAATATTTTTGCTTGGCTGCGGTTTGATTCTTGATGGCACATTACACTCAGCTTTTCTTTGTGTCTCATGTGTGTGTGTATGCCTGTGTGTTATATAGGTGTATATATTTTAATTATTTCTCAAATATGAATATATTTAATGGCAAGGAATGTGAATGTTCTGGAGAACCAAACTTGGTATTGAAGGGAATGGAAAGCTGTAAACAAACCATTAAATGTACTAACATGTATTGATTTTGGCATGCTAACAGACTGTAATCTATTTTAGACTCTTGGCAAAACCAGAAACCATGTCTAAATGGCTGGGCTAGACAAATAAAAGCTCCTCTTGGCCCACTCTCCATGCGGCTTGGCTGGGAGCCAGCCGTGGCTCTTCAGCCATATGGCCACTCGGGCTCAGTGACGGAGCCGTGCGAGGAAGCCTGTCATCCAAGGACAGGCGTAGCCGTCCTCCCTGCCGTGTCACCCTGGAAACTCGCGCCGAGCCGCTCACCCTCTCATCACTTGGATTTCATTCCGCTCTTCCCTCCTGCCCCAGTGGGGCTGCTCCACTTCCTAGCACAGGCCTCCTCCTCATATTTGCATGTGTGTGTGTGCGTGTGTGTGTGTTCCTTTGCAATGCGTGGTGTTAAAAAACATATTGTTTAAATGGACCCACTGTGTATCACCCTACGCGATCCAGACTCCTCTGTGCCTTGCACCAGGCTATTCCRAGATGCCAGGTGATTAGTCATCCTTATTCATCATCCACAAGTCTTAGCAGCGGTTGTTGCTTTATATTTTCTTCTAGAACATTACTAAAAACCTGGCAATGTTAAAGGATGTTGTTCAGACTCTTCTAGAGAGCCCATTTTGAGGTTTCCTGTTGACTGATTTCTCTAACTTTCTCTGCAGTTACTGACCTTATAAGCTGTGTCACGCATGCTCTCTTAATCACTCACAGCAGCAACTGATGCTGGGAGTAAAGAGGAGAGAGAGAAGCATAAGCATATTTAACAAGGGAACTAATACAGAGCTTACATAAGTACTTAGTTGGGAGGTTTATGGTAGAGATTAGCAATATGTTTCACTCGGCTTTGTGAGCTTGTGCATCTCATTATCCATTTTATCTAAGATACTCTTTACAAGTTTCTGTTTTATGAAGTTTGTTCAGTTTTCTCGGTCTTGTGTATACTAATTTTCATGTTATCTGATAAATTCATTTCAAGTATATGAATTTGGTGAGAGTATTTGTTGTGGTATCCTCTTCCTGCCTACGACAGTTTTGGAACTACAAACAGATTGTAACTTTTCTGGGTTTTTAAAATTATTTTTATTGTTTAGCTTGGTGTTCACTGTTAATCAAATCTGTATTGTTTTTTCTAAAGTGAGTTCTGTCTGTAATGAACCCTTCTTTCTGTCCAAATATTCTGAGTCACTTGAAAATAAGCTTGTCTGTAATTGTCTAGTAAAAATCTTTGCCTGATGTAGTCCTTGACTGCTGAGTCACTTGGGAGTGCTGCATAAAAACTTGCAAGATGCTGTACTGAATAATTTGTCTGGTTTTAGGAAGCATAGCACATATAAGCTTAGGAAACGTTGATCTTACTCCGTAATAAGTAATTTTCCTCTCTTCCTCACTTATTTGACTGACTGGTTGTAAATGAATCCTCAGCTGCACCATTTTCCTAACACCCTTCAAATTCTTCCAAAGAATTTGGATTATCTTGTTGGCTAACTCAGCATTAACTGCAGTTGTTTGCAAGTCATAACTCTGGCCTCTAAAGTGCCACTTCAAAAATAAATTCTGTGTCCTTTTATCATTTATCAAGTATCTTGGAGTTAGAAAAGAACTTGACTCCTCTATTTAATATTTACATAAATTGCTTTATTCTGTCTTCCGAGGCCTTCAAAATAATGACAAATCTTGCTTCAAATACAGCAAGATCTGCTTTTAGATTCTATTTTCTCCTCTCTGTTTCACAGAGAGAGGTTTATGCTTGAAGGGAAAACACATTCTGGTTCTGTGTAGGCCAGATGCAGAAAAAAATCATGGGAAGTGGATGATTCCAAGGGCAGTTTCCCAATTTGGTTGGAATTTGTGTCTTTTTCTCCTGACTCAGTAGTGAGTTAAGTAATAATCCTTAGAATTCGAAGCTTAACACTTTAGAGGTGGCACTAGCTGTATTACAGGCAGATTAGCACAAAGAATGGCACTGCATTTGCAGGCCTATTGAAATCTGCTGAAGCAAATCAGGGCTTTTCTGTAAGGGGAGCTCAGTGGTAAAATTTTGCTGCGAGCTGCTTTTGTTGTATGGGCTTATTAAGCATCTCTAGATTCTCTGCATTAATGTTCTTGAGCACGTGTCCTCGAGCAGTTTCCTCAGTTGTCCATCTTGCCTTCTCGCCAGCTCAGGAAAAGTACTAGATACTTTGCCAAGTTTAAAGTGAAGCTTTTGCTTTGGAGAGGAGGGCAGCCAAGCTCCGAATAAGCTGGGGGAAGATATTATGTCCTGCTTACAAAGTATGCTGCAGTTCTTCTTGTGGAAGGTCTACGAGCAAACCACGCAGATGTCTTCCTTTCCAGAAGGAAAAGTCTGTTCCAAAAGGGGTGGCATAAGCAATTAGCAGTTAGCACAACAGAGAAAGCATCCAATTCTGTTAGGCATATAATAATTTAAAGTATTATTAGTTTAAGACRTGATACATAGGATTTTTTTTTCCACCTAGATGCTTAAATTGAGACAGTGAGGATTCTTGTCTCATCCTTTTCATGAAGAAGCAGAAAGCTTTGGTGCTAGTAAACCACAAAGAGTTCAGTTGAATAGCTTTAATAGCTTTAATAAAAGTCTACAAAAGAAAGCTTACCTTTTTGGTAAAGCATTTCATAGATAGCATCATAATCAGATGCAGTGAAGTTAGAACTAACCATCGACATATTATTCTGCCAGTGAAATGTGTGCCTTAATAGGTAGTCACCYACTGGCCAGTGTTGTTAAGTTAGCCCTGCTAGGACTGAGGGATTGGACCAGATGACTTGCTGCATCTCTTCCATTCAAGCTATCCTGCAATTCTGCACATTCTTTGCTCTATCTAGGATCCTACCTAAGGCATGGCAACGTCATATTTAAGATAAGTAGAGRAAAAAATATTAAAATATAAAATTAAGTAGCTGAAATTGAGTTTTTGACACTATTTACCAGCTAGGAATTTATAAACATTTTGATCTTTTGAAAATATCATCATAAATTTGAAGGAAGCATGGGATAGTAATTTGAGTGGCTTCACTTTCCCCCACCTTCTGTGTTACCCTTAGCACAGAATCATGAACATTTAGTTGATGTCAGAGTGACCATCTTGGAGGTATTTCATCTTGCAGCTTCCACTGAAGGTACTTAACCTTAACCTAAAGTTAAACTGAACTTTATCGGTTCCCATGTTAGAGGTACAATGATGCCATCTGTGCAGACAGCAAGAGCTCTGTGCTGGACAGTCTCTCTGATTCTGCAAGCCATCGCTGTCTCCCCATGATGCTGTTTTACGCAGGTTATACAACGTAGATGCAAAGTATCAGAGAAATTGTTTGCTGGAGAGTATACTTTCTTAAACGGCTTGTTTCACTTCAGTGTAGTCCTACTTGCCAGCTTCTTAAAACTTTATGTATATAATTGAGCAGAGTGTAAAAACAATTGTGTAAAAACAATTGTGTAAAAACAATTTTTAACTCCAAACTGAAGAATCAATCATTATTTCCTGAAGAGATTTATTATTTTCTTCTACAAATTTTATTTCACAGTAACCTGTTTCAACAGTGCAAATTCAAAGGCAGCATTGAAAATGCCGTGCACCAGGGCTTCAAACTTCCTTATAGGAAAAAATACTTCAACATTTTGGCTGTTCTGTTGCAGCATGGATATCAAAGTCAAGATCCTGAATTACTAGCTACCCACTTCAGTGCCTATACATCCAATTTTTAAATGTATTATTTARATTCGGATTTAATAATTAAAATTAAATTGGTTGGATTTAATTGAAAAGACTTCTGTTACAAAGTAAATCATTTGGTCTTTTTGCATTTCAGGTAACATTCAAGGAGCAACAATAGTGGATGCCCTTGATACACTCTACATCATGGAAATGAAGGAAGAATTCAAGGAAGCCAAGGAGTGGGTTGAGCAAAACTTAGATTTCAATGTGGTAAGTAGCACTGTTGATTAACACGATGGTTAGTGTCCAGAGACCCTCTAAGGACCGAATTCTAATATTGCAAGTGTTATATAAGGCTACAGAGTTTAGACTGTTAATAGAGGAAGTACCAGAGGAAATAGGTACAAAGTGCCATAGGAAACAGAAACGTAATAAAGTTACTGCTCTTCAAATACGTAGTTTTTGAGAGACTTAGATAAAAGTAGGTGGGACTCAGTTGAATAGAATGAAGCAGGAATAGAATATTACTTCCTGATTACTTACTTTAAAGTGAAAAACAAATGCTTCATCCATTTTGGATAGAAGAATCAAGACACTTCAATGTAAGCTTCTATTTATTTATTTATTTATGAAATATTTTGTATTTGTTTTCCATAAACTAGACTTGCAATTAGGGAAAACTATACATAACAAGTGTGTCAGTTAAACTCCTTTCTGTGTGCTAATGAAGTGAAGTTGAATCCTATGGCTTAGYTTGAACTATGTGGCACAAATTGAGCTGCTTTAGTAGTATGAGGCCCTGGGTCGTCATAGCTGCATGGAGAATTGATCCTATTATCTGAGAAATATGCAATTTGAGAGCACAGTTCATTTGTAAAGGTTTTATTTTAGAAATGCATTGAACAGAATAATAATTAAATTGCTTAAATTTATATTTAGAAGAACTGGCGTAGGTCTTTTTTTCCTCTTTTTTTGGCAAGGAAGTATATTGTAACTAGTGGGCACAAAAGTAAAAATTAATTCTCTTGCATACTCGAGAATTAATTATTTTAGGAGAAAGTGTTAAGAGTCAGTATTTTACAGTTTATATAAGCAACTATTTAGTGTGTATTTCTATTTGTAGTTTAAATACAGGACYTTGAAAAGCATTTCTGAGCATTTTTAGATGTTGGAAAGACATGCCAACCTTATCTTGAAATTATATTGAGCTGCGATTTTTTTCAAAGGAATTTTTGTCATATTGAATACCTGTTTTATTAGCAAAGCATTAAGATCTTAGAAAAAAAAAAAGAAAAAAGAAAGGAAAAAGAAAAGCAAACACTGCATTAAAGGAAAAGCTAAGCTGTAGTTAGAGGGACATTAAAAAGTTCCATAGTGATTTACATTAATAAAAGTAAAATATTTGGTTTTACACATAATCTTGCTCTGCTTTATGCTGCAAACTTGTATCTGTGGATGGTATTGCCTACAATTTCCATTCATCAAGGTAATTTATATGCCATTTTTAAAAACTATGAAACATTTAATTGTATATGAGAAAAAAATTACAAAATTATGAAGTCATCGTAACTGTCTGAGATATTGTATTACATTAATCAATAAATGCAGTGATCAAAAAGATTTACCAAATCTTGTTTACAGACAATACTGACATGCATCTGAAACAGTGTATTAAATAGCTGCCTTGAGCTCAACACCTCACAAAATTTATTTGCTTAATATTTTATCTGTATTAGTCATATAGAACTGAATTMTATACTGACATCAATACTAACTAAATTAATTTTCCTGAAGTAAAATGAGGAAATAAAATCTACAGCCATAACACCAACTTTAATAATCAACATCTGGTCTTCTTAAATTAGCTGAATTTAAGTTGTCTGAAGTTATTCAATTKCTATTCAACTCCTGTTTAGTTTTCCACACTAGACATAAGTTCTGGTTTAAAATACTTCTTATATCTCTGTCTTATAGTTTAAAGCTGGATATTATTCAATTCAAAAAGCAGATGGCCCTGTCTCCTTTTGCACCACCTCATTGTCCTTATCTAACAATAAAAGTTCCCAAAGTTCAGTTTATAAATTAGCCATTTGCTTATAAAGATGATGTGACAAGGAAGTGGTGCCACATTAGTAATTCTTCATGTGATGAATTGAGGGACTGAATCTAATAAATTAGTTGTCGAGTATTACTTTTAATTATCTCTGAAGAAGGCGAGCTGTGTTGTTTTAGGAGCTACGGAAATTCCTCTCCCTTGATGCCATGCTGGCATTTTGGCCAAATTGGCTGAGTAGTTTTTCAAGAATTAATTAGCTTCCTCTGGTTCTTTGCTCTTTTAAGTGTTTTAGCCCCAATGGAAATAGACTGGACATTTAGYAGCAACTAAATCAACAGTCTTTTCATCAGGAACGTGCTTTTTGTTTTGCGTGGTATTRCCTCCTATATGTGTTCAGATCTATTTTTGATCCTGAGCAGTCCACGGAGCTGAGAATTCAGTCTGACCTCGCCACACGTGCTGTCTTTGCCGTGTTTGTGCATGACGCTGCCCAAGGCTGCCTGGCGCCGGGTGGGTACCAGCACTGCATCTCAGAAAAGGCAGCCTGTCCTTCATGGGATCACAAGGGAGACTGAGTGTTTTTCCTAGCTGCAACTGCACCCTGCTGTGTGCTCCTGTATTTTTTTTTTTTTAATGATTTGCTTTAGGAAATGTGCACACACCAAGTAGTCAGTGTTTTCCTGAAAGACTTGCTGTATCACTGTACCCAACCGCTGCTCTGCACTGGGCAGGGAAAACATGTCAGACTCGCTGCACGTGGGGGAAATGAGCTGATACTTAGAAGGAGAGTTGGAGAAGGGCTTTTATTGAAAGGGATAAATGGGYCAGAAGTCAGCGAAACAGTGGCAGAGATGTTGAGCTGTTTGACACAATATTGAAGAGCTAAGGATATTCTATTTGACAGTCTTTGTCTTCTGCATGCAGAAGACAAATTTAATGCCAGTAGCAGTCCCTCTTAAGGTTTCCATGGGTGCTGTCTGGAACAAGAGTGGCCAAAATCAGAGCAGAAAATAATAGCAATCAAACAAAGGTGGGACAGTGCTTGAAGTGGTACCCTGGCCTGCTTGTTGTTCTGCAGCAGTACAGTCAGGCAGGACCAGGGTGGGGACAAGCCATGGGCTAGGGAAATAGAAAAATGGTCTCATCCTCTAAAAAAACCCTCAGAGCTGAGTTTAGAAACCAGGACACTTCAATAAAATAATTTGCCTGTTTGTTAGTGGCTTTTGCTTTGTTTGCCTCATTCCTCTCTATTTTTGGCTGAAATGGAGGATGGCAGGAAGTTATTGCTTAGTCAGAGGGAAGTGGTAGTGGACTGTGCAGTAGCTCTACCTGTGTGCATATAATTGAATTGGCTTTAATTGGCATTTTGTGCACACACTGAGTTGTTGTGCATTATCTAATCATAGATTCTTTATTAATCACGCAGGATGAATCCACCTAGAAAAGAGCAGATGTTAGGCTGTAGGGAAAGGATGAAAAGCTTTTGCTTATTTGTTGTCAAAGATGGGTACTAAGTGGATCAGAGAACTGTGTAAAGAGAAGGGATGAATAAGGCAGCGAGGATAAGTTAAGACTTGTCTCCTGCCAGTACTCCTGAGCAAAGTTGTTTACAAAGACCAGTCACTGCATCAAAGTCAGAAAACTTACTAACCACTTCTGATATTTATCTTTGTACTTAACTTTGCAAATATAAGTATCTTTTAAAGTAGTTTTGTACACAGCTTCATACAACATAGATCTGTTGCATATGTTATGCCTGCTTTTGGAGGAACTTAAGCAAGATTGGAAAAAGAGCAGACAACTGATATTGAAGTTACATTTTATATCTGCCGTCATATAGATTATTGTATCCCTTTCTCAACATCCCCAAATTCTGAGTGCCCTTTGGATCTAATCAATAATGYTTCCAGCATTTATTATTAATCATGCTGTAGTTCAAATCTGTCTGTGATGTGGCAGTCAGAAACAGCGACAGACTACTAGAATTCATCAAACTGCTTATTTCAAGCTTAGAAACATCTCAGAGCTGTTAGGAGTCCTCTGCTCTCAAACTGTAGGCACTGTAATTCAGTTGTAATCATCTTTGGCAGTTCAAAAGTTGSTGTTCTGGCTTGGAAACAGATTTTGGCACTTGATCTTTTGTGGTGGTGGTGTTTTTTTTTCTTCTCTCTATAAGCAAAATACAAATGAAAAAATAATTTTATGTAATACTGGTAATAATACAGCTTTCCCGAACAAAGTGTGTCGGAGGTACGACTAAATGGACTTTAAGTAAATATGTAATAACTCTGTTAAGCTTAAGCTTAAGGGAAATTAAGAAGCCAGCACTAGAAGATGGTTCTTTAATTTGTGGGACTATTTGTTTACTAGTTTCTTCCAAAGTGGACTTGTTAGTGCACTCTAAATAATAGACATCAAAGTGGCTTCATCTTGCCTGGATTATAAGAATGAATAATAAATGATGATGATGGGTTAARGGGAGATTTTGAGTAAATTTATTACTAAATGCCATTTTTTTTCTGCTAAAATTGGYCAATATCCTCTGTAACATTTCTTTTTTGTGCTTGTTTTCCTTTTACGATTTTACACTTCGCCATATGAGAATTTAAGTAAACTTAAATAAAAGGAGTTGCAAAACTGGGCTTTGAAACTTGCAATCAAGCTCTCTATAAGTGCTTCACCTATTATTGAATATTTTAACATATTGCTGCTTAACAAATGAAATTTATCTTTTCCACTATTGCAAGGAGTTAAAAAAGTAACTCAATTAAAGTAGCTTAAAGTAAGCTTGTAGTAACCTTTGTATCTCTATCCTACACTGCTTCATAAGGTCATTTTTTTTGTTCCCAGCCTTTGTGCTTAARTGGGATGATGATATTTTAGGCTGTTATACGACCATTTTCTTTTTGTCCAGAATTATGGGCATTATCCAGCGTTATTCAGTATTAACYAATATATGGTTCCTGGATTTGTCTTAGACATTTTTATTATGATGACTCTCTGTGGAGGAAGGTGAATTAGCCATGCCTGCAGGATATAGACTGTTTATGATGGTACAGTATGATACACAGGGGAGGGTATTGCTACATTCCTGTTGTATATAAACCCTAGGTGGAAATGGAAATGAGGTGACTGAGATTTTATTGCACTCTTGACAAGAAAAGTACAGGAGAACTGGAGGAAAAAAAGGTCTGGAGTGAATCTGTCCAGTAAAGAGAATTGAAATTATTTGATAGGAATGGAGTCATATTTGGAAGTTTATATAAAGAGTAGATGAGCATGCTTTTTTTTTTTTTTTTTTTAGTTCAATTTAAATTGAGGTGATTCAGTTACTCCAAGTACATTATGCACATAAGGAGCATGCGGTATTTTATCCTACTAAATTATGAGTAGCAGAGCAAGTACCAATGTTGATGAGTGCCTGGTGGCAGCTGACACTAGATAAATAAAATTGTATTAAGTGTTGCATTTGTGACCAAGGATGACTTCCCATGAGATGACATAGATGGAAATTGTTTTGGCCTTCATTTAGGAAGTTGTGGAGAGGAAATTTTTCAGGGAAGAGGTGTGCTAATGAAATAACCCACAGGGGTAAGAATATTGATGTTTAGTAAGCTGGAGACGTCCGATAGAACAGATGCTTCCAGAAAGCCCAGTGACAGTAGCTTTGTCCCAACATTGCTTTAGGCATCAAATTGAACCACAAATGGCAGAAGCGTCACCAAGTTAGCAACTGATAATTTTGTCTTCACAAGCTAATAAAGGAAAMCAGATGAAATTGCATTCAGTGGTCATAGTGCTGCTCCTGTGCCACATAGTGCTACATATATTGCTTCTGGTTTTCTATTTCTGTAAATACAATGAGGGACAGCCATAATTTCTCTGAATTTCAAGTCTTACTTGGACTTTTTAAATAGACTGCCCTTTGTGGCACCTAGATGATAAGTTGTTGATCAGGTATAAGATGAAAAACCAAGTTATCTGCATACTGCAATTAGCCTCAAAGTCTTGAAAGTAGAACAAGAATATGTTGTTCCCAATATACATACCAGTTTCTCAAACATCCCTGTATATTGAGAATACTTAGTGAAAGGAAGCCTTGCAAAATCAGCAGCTACAGCAAGATGTTTTTGCACAGTAATAAGAAGATATTATCACAGACAGGTAGTAACAGAAGATGTTCGGGATATTGTACACGGCATGTGTTGATGAAATACAATTCGGGCTACTAATAAAAAGACTGTGAAATTAGACATTTTCTATAATCATAGAAGAGTTATGGTTTGAAGGTATTTTTGGAGATCATCTAATCCAACTGTCTGCTCTTGAAGAGGGATGAACATCCAATTGGGCAGAACGAGCTTCCCTGGGATCTTACAGGAACACTGTGGTTACTTTAAAATAAAAGTGTCCTGCACTTCTCCTTAGAGAAGTTCCATTGGGTCTAAATGAAGTAATGGAAGAGTTTCTCAGACCTGCTCTGTAATGTAAAATGAATGTTTGAGGTTGCAGGCTAACCTTGGCACTTCTTTTAAAAAAAAAAGTAAAAAGTAAGAAAATAAATAAAATTCTAGCCTTTGCAGTTGATGAAGTAAAAGTAAAGACTTTGGGAGGTCAAGATAAAGATTTTTCCTATTTTGGCACTACTAAACTGATAATAAGATATTTGTGTATATTTGAGTCTAACAGCAAAACAAAAATAACATCCCATATTAGACATTTAGTTTTTGAATAGAAATGAAGAGACTTATTTGTGCAAAACTTTGAGCATCATTATTTAAAAATATGAAAGGAAGGTAATGGACAGGATGTGGCATCTTAAATGTACAATACAAAAAGCTATTGAAATTTAAATTTCAGAAAGAAGGGTAAAGTTGATGTGGCAGTAATATATYTCTTTTAGGACACATCCACTTTCCCTAACAGGCTACTTCCTAGTAAAAACTTTCCTTGTAGAGATGAATGCATCTCCAACATGGAATTATAAAACTTCTGCAGATATTTTGCAGGTTGCTGTAATCTGGGTACTTTCCCAGAATGATACTAGCCTGGTAATGATTTTAGGAATACTGATCCTATTAAATATACAGCTTTCAAATATACATTTAATGAGATGTCTGTCTACTTCATTCACTGCATGTGCTTCATTGGCTTATATAAAGATTTTAGTAAGATCTGAGAATTTCAAACAAAGCTTCAGAGATGTGTGCAAATGAATATTGGAAATCTGATAACATTAAAACAATGAGTACCTTCAGGAAATCACCTGAAAGATCAGCATTTCAGCAGCCATTCAGAATTACAGTGGAGTTAATTTTGGTAATTTGATAGTAAAATCTTTATTCTCACATTACTTCAAAGTGTTCTTTTTGTCTTGTACCTAATTCCAAAAATAGATGCCTGTGCATATATTTTGAGCTTTTTTTTAATGGGCTTTTGAATTCCTTGAAGGATAGCAATGCATTGTGAGTAATATTAAATCCAGATACATAAAATGTAAGGATCTAGATGGAAAATATTCAGTTAAAGAGCTTTTCTGCCACTGGATTTACTTCCACGAGCAATTCAAAATCGAAAAGTAATTTAACTCAGTCGTTATAGGAAACACACAGAAATTAAGCCCTTCTCCATCGTCCCCCTTTCTCTCCAGTATTGGGAGAGGACCTAGTGAAGAGAGACACTAGAATTTTGGTACACTTAAAATTATCTTATTAGATAAACTTGGCATGTTCTGACTAGTTCTGCACCACTAGCCTTTTTCAGTTTGCAGTCCTACCACTGTTTATCAGAGCAATTATTCTATGGTTTAAATTTTACTTCCTTTTTTTGAGGAAAGAAATTGACACACAAGATTTTAAGAGTAAGAAAAAAAAGTTTAAAAAATGTAAGGCAAGGTAGCAAGCACTGTAGAAAGCCAGTAAGTGCGTCTGAGGTCTATGCCTTTCAGACTAATGAAACACTGATCAATCTTCTATAATACTTTTGGAAACATCTGCTTAATTAGAGTGGATTGAAAATTGACAGGCATGAAGTGATACCTTTGATAAGTAATCTAAGGTTACTTAGGAACTACCTAAAAATACATTTGGTTAAAATTAAAAAAGTCACAAAAAAAAAAAAAAAAAAAAAAGAGACCCTTCCTATATAGACTTACATTTAAACTGGAGAAGCTGAAAGAAGAAAAAAACCTTTAAGCCCTTTGTAAGAACATCCTAGAGCCTGACCATGCATTGATTTATATTGGATATAGCTTTAGTGTATGTCAGCAAATACAAGTAGATAAACAACTGGTAGCAAGAGCAACTCAGAACACATGAAAGTCAAACACCTTATTTATGTGCTGAAAGCTTCGAAGCCCAACTGCTGTGTACCCGTCTTTCACATATTTTGTGCCTGGGCTCAGAATCAACAGCAGGGAAGTGCTCAYATGTATGGATTTATAGAATAATTCATATCCAAGTGGAAAGGATGTGAACTTAAACAGGATGAGAAAAATGAAGCAGATATTTTTTTAAGTGAGGAAGAGAAGGAAATCTTTAAAATGCCTTAAATTCTGTAATGATGGCTTTCCCTCAATCTATCTAGTGTGTTTCGCTGTTAAGTTTTGTCATAGATTAATGTCTGTGTATATTAAAAAAAATCTTTTTCTAGTTGAAAGTAACACTTTATGGAAATATAATCACTATCTATCAACGTATGTAGTAGGCATAATATTTCTTACAATAAAGAATAAGATAGGGATTATAACAACATTTTTTTATTTTGCCAGAATGCGGAAATTTCTGTTTTTGAAGTAAACATTCGCTTTGTGGGTGGACTCCTTTCAGCTTACTATCTTTCAGGAGAAGAGGTAAGATATCTTCATGTATTATTTGAAATATTATGATCCAGATATCTAGTCACCACTTTTATTTTTCAGAAATAAACCGGTTTATATCTTTGAAAATTTGATTTGTCTAGGAAAACCCTCTCTGCTATATTTTCTTGCTTTTCTCCATGCAGTTGCTTTGTGTGTTTTTTTTTTCCACTCCATTCAAATCACACCAAGTGGGTTTTGTGTTCGAAAATATAAGTATGAAGTGCTAATGCTGCACTGGTGGATTTGGTATAGGGGTACCTGCTACTCAAATCATCTCAGTGAATGCCCTTTTACTAATAAACTACACCTCTGAAAAAGATGTTGGCCTTTCTCATGAGTTTGAAATGTCAACTAAAAAGAAAAGATGGGTTAAGAAAGAAAATAACTGGTAAGTCTATGCATGTGAATATCCTTAGAGCATTAATCTCCAATTAATCTCTATTGCCTCCTCAGTAATGAGTTTCAAAGGTTCTATCACAATGCCTGTCATGCTTTCTGGAGAGGATGAAGCAGCAATTTTGTCTAAGAGAGTTGACTAATGCAGTTATTTCTGTAATAAATTTACAGAGGCCTGCACTGTCACATGTACTCTGATATTTCACATTTTTGGCCTGGCACTTAGTCCTTAATTTTACTGAGTTAAATTCTTGTTYCTCATTGATGTATTATAATAATGCTCTATAGTAGGAATAACACAGATGAAAACTCTGTAATCATAAGCTGAATTTACCATTGGATTTCTTTAAATCCAAACCAATTATTTGTGCAAACTCCACAAAAGCTTAAAATTGTGTAATTTTCTTTTATACATTACTTTCCTAAGTATTAGGTAAAGTTCTCTTTGGCAACTATCATTTCAATTATCTTAAAAATCTGCAGTTTATGAGTTGTTAAAATTCATTACCATGTCAAAGTAATATACTTGGAAAAGTAGTTTTGAGGTGATAGTCTCTGTGATGTTTATATGAGTACACTAAACTTACCTACTGCTTATTTTTCATGTTTCTGTTCTCAGCACAAATAGTATGGAAAAGATGTAAATGTTTTAAATGTATGTTTTTCATATTTTAAAATACTTAAAGTATTCTGGAAAAAAATCACCTTTGACTTGTTTTGAAAATGAACAAAAATGAGAAAGGATAAGTAGTTGGTGTCATATTTACTACAAATTGTTTTTCCTAATGCCTTATCTTTGGCCTTTGAAGGAAATTGTTGTCTTTCTACAGTTATTTGGCAAACAAGGAATAAGCATAAAGAAAAGATTTTAAAGGCTCYTGCTTTCCACTAGTTATCTCTTTCACTGCAGATTTACTTCTCATAACCTGTAGTGAACTTTTTCCATATAACCTATAGCTGAATTTTAATTAACTGGTTGTGACAGATGTAGGGATTGCTTCCTGGCAAACAATGAGCTGATAGAGGACACTAAGACCTTTAAATTAAGTGGCGAATGACTGCCAAGAAATGCCTGAACAATTCGTCATCAGTGCTGTTAAGTTTGTTTATATGTTGATGGTTTATATCTTGTGTCTGTTGATGTGCAGTAGCTTCTTTTAAATAATTTCTAGTCATAGCTTCTCAACCACCCCTCCACCTTCACCCCTCTTGGACTAGATTTGTAGCCATACTGATGTTAAATAAGACTATTGGACAAAAGAAATGAGGAAGTGGTACATTCACACGACACATAATTAAGTAGAGCTCTTTGCCGTGGGTTTTTTGACACTTGATGTCAAATCTCAGTATGAATGGACTCATTCATAGAAGGAAAATGGGCTCCTCAAAATGAAGATGAAATGTTTAAGTGGGGAGGGCTCTGAGCCCCTGCAGGCTGCAAGGATACCATCCATGCCTGGCACTTCTTAATGCTTTCGTAGACACCTACTGTCCAAGGCAGAACGATGGTCCAGACTTCATGTTCCTAAACTAGTAGTTGCAAGAATGCCTTGAACACTTGAACTATGCATGCTTGCTCCTGGACCTCTTACATTTTTCTTTTACCTTTCCCAAAATTAGGGAAACTCTCTTGATACAAAAGCCAGCTTGATTCAGCCAGCTGCTGAACAGAGGAAGACTGACTGACTGCAACTCTTCTGATGACAGTGCACCCATGCAGTGGTGTGACATCCCCTTGCTGCATAAGCCTTTTCCTCACTAGTGCTGCTGACAGGCTGCAAAAGGCCTAAGCACCGGAATCTGACTGCCCACACAGAAAGCATATCTTCCTTCCTCTTTAATCCATTATTGGGCCTCCCTAAGATTTTGGAACAGTGTATAGGAAAACTATGGAGTATTAATCTTTCTCAGCAGAAAGTTCATAATATTCTCTAACTTATATTTGCTGTGCTCACTTGCCAATATCCCACAGAGACCAGACACAAGAGAGAGAACCAGGAGAGAGGAAGACTTTCCACTGGCTGAGGAGGATGAGGTTAGGGAGTATTTAGGCAAATTGGACACCCATAAATCTATGGGCCCAGATGGGATGCATCCCAGAGTGCTGAGAAAACTGGCAGGAGTTGTTGCTTAGCCGCTCCCCATTATCTGTGAGAGGTCCTGGAGAGCAAGGTTGGTGCAGAAGGACTGGAAGAAACCAACATCACTCTAGCCTTCAAAAGGGGCAAGAGAGAGGAGCCAGGAAACTACAGGCCAGTCAGCCTCACCTCTGTCCCTGGAAAGGTGATGGAGCAGCTCATCCTAGAGCGCATTTCTAGGCATGTAAAGGGAATGAAGGTGATCAGGAGTAGTCAGTATGGATTCACGAAGGGGAAGTCGTATTTGACAAACCTGATAGCCTTCTATAATGGGATGACTGGCTGGCTGGACAAGGGAGAGCCGTGGATGTTGTCTACCTTGACTTCAGCAAGGCTTTTGACACAGTCTCCCATTACATCCTCTTGAAAGCTCTGGAARTGTGGGTTAGAGGAGCGGACAGTGAGGTGGATTGAGAAGTGGCTGGATGGCAGAGCTCAGAGGGTGGTGGTAAATGAGACCAAACCCAGCTGGAAGCCTGTGGCCAGTGATATCCCCCAGGAGTCAGCATTGGGCCCAGTGCTGTTCAACCTGTTCATCAAGGACTTTGATGAGGGCACAGACGACACCCTGAGCAAGTATGCAGACGACACCAAGCTGGGTGGAGTGGCCAACACTCCGGAGGGCTGTGCTGCCATCCAGAGGGACCTGCACAGGCTGGTGAGTTGGGCAGAGAGGAACCTCATGAGGTTCAATAAGGACAAGTGCAGGGTCCTGCACCTGGGGAGGAATAACCCCAGGCACCAGTACAGATTAGGGGTCGACCTGCTGGAAAGCAGCTCCACAGAGAGGGACCTGGGAGTCCTGGTTGACACTAAGTTAACCATGAGTCAGCAGTGTGCCCTCATGGCCAAGAAGGCCAATGGGATCCTGGCCTGCATCAGGAGGAGTGTTGCCAGCAGGTCAAGGGAGGGGATCCTGCCCCTCTCCTCAGCTCTGGTGAGGTTGCACCTGGAGTATTGGGTGCAGTTCTGGGCTTCTCAGTACAAGAGGGATGCAGAGCTTCTAGAGAGGGTCCAACAGCGAGCAATAAAGTTGATTAAGGAACTGGAACATCTCTCATATGAAGAAAGGCTAAGCAAACTGGGCCTATTTAGCCTGGAGAAGAGATGTTTGAGAGGAGTTTTGATCAATATGTATAAATACCTGAAGGGAGAATATAGGGAGGAAGTGGCCAAGCTCTTCTCATTGGTGGCCAACAATAGGACAAGGGGAAATGGGCATAAGCTGAAACACAGGAGGTTCCATCCCCAGGTGAGGAAGAACTTCCTTCCTGTGAGGGTGCCAGAGCCCTGGCACAGGCTGCCCTGGGAGTTTGTGGAGTCTCCTTCTCTGGAGATCTTCCAAACCTGCCTGGATGTGACCCTGTGTCCCGTGCTCTGGGTGGCCGTGCTGAAGCAGGKGACTGGACTAGATCATCTCCAGAGGTCCAACCTTAACCATTCTGTGATTCTGTGAGTGACAAAAATAATTGTTTGTACTTCTGAATTACATTTCTGTGGTTAATGATGCAAAGCTGCACCATATTTTATGTCCTGTAATCATTTCTAAGTCTAACTAATCATGATTAGATAATATTCTGTCATACTCAGAAAATGCTAAAACATCTCACTCTCATAATAGTTCATTCAGATAAAGGCACCAATGTGACTAATTTAAGAAATGAACAAATGGAATATTCTGCCTGCTGATAAGCACGTGCTGCTCAATTTCAAATAGAGCTATGAGATGCTTTGTTTTTCACTTCCTAGAATTTGTGTCTTACTGGAATTAATTTAAACTCTATAAAGTCCAAGAACAGTGTCATACACGTTACATCACATTTTTTTAATGATTTTGCTTAAATACAAGCTAGAAAAATTGCAGTCAAATACTAAACTTAGTTGGGAAATTGCTACCAAGAGCTTTTCTTGAAACTAGATTTTCTGTTATCTTGCGACTTAGTATGACCTTATGAATATTTACACTGTAAAGGAAGATGCTTGGTAAAAGGGAAGAGTGTTAAAAACTACTCTGGTATTTTTCAATTTGACTATAAATTTCCAGTATGCAAGAAGGAGTGAAGAGTATTGTCTACAAGTTCCCCTCCTCTGAAAAATACTGAAAACAAGTTGCTCTCTTCTGTTTTTTTTTCTCTTATTTATAACACACTTCCATATGCAGTGTCACAAAGAGATAGTTCTTTTATCTTTGGAGAAAAACCATATTATGCCCTTTAACAGCAGCAAAGTCATGGAAATGAACAGAAAAAAAAAGAATCAAATTTCATCTTCTGTTTGATATTTAATTCTAATGGTATCTATAAGAATCAAATATCAAATACTTTTGCTATACATAGCAAAAGTAATTTTAATGGTATCTGTAAGAATCACTTTTGCTATGTAATAGCAGGGGCTGTCTTACTGAAGGCTGGTTCTATAGTCAGGTATGTTACATGGGCAGAAATGGAAGCTTTCAAA